GGAGGAGAAGAGGACGATGGAGGATGAGATGGTTGGATGGCATCACGGTCTCAATGGATATGAATCTGAGTAAACTCCGGGAGTTGGTAAAGGACAAGGAGGCTGGGCATGCTGCATTCCATGGGGTCACAAAGAGTTGGACACGACTGAGCGGCTGAACTGAACTGAACTGAACTGGACAGAGGATGGATAGATGGATGGATGGGTGGATGGATAGTCAGATGTTTTAATGGCCTACTGTTTGCTCTGCTGATGAGTAAGGAATTCCCACCCTAGGGTTATAAGAATGGCGAAACACATGGCACCCAATAATGAAAGATGAGATTGCCATCAGTTTGTTAATCACATACTCATAGCCTGGGGAAGACCTCACATTCCATGCAGGGCCACACAGGGGTTCCACTTGGGATCAGAGTGAACCAGCAAAGCCTGTGGGAAGCTGGCCATGTGGTCAGTATCAAGAGGGTGGGGAGGAGTTCCTCCGTTCCAAAAGGAGAAGGCGACTATCTTATTTAAATGGTCTGTGTGTTGTAGGGAACTGAAACCTGGTACTCAGGAATAAGCAGGAGCTGCACTGGTTCCCTTGATGAAGGGGGGTGTTCTGTTAGGGAACTTATTCGTGGGAGCTGAGTGGGGAAGTGATTTGTGGTTAAGGCATTTGAGATCCTCCCAATTTCACCAAATGTCAAAGGAGCACACAGGAGTGGACTTTCACTGAAGGTCAAAAAAATGTTGTCCTGTTTTCCTCTGAAAGTTTATCATTTTGCCTTTCACATTTCAGTCTATGATCTATCTGTACTGGTTTCTGGGAATGGTATGAAGTAGGGGTCAAAGTTCAATGTTTCCACCTGGAGGACTAGTCGACACAGCACTTTGTTGAAAAGATTGCTGCCTTTTGGGGATCCTTTCATCATAAATCAGGTGGATCTGGTTCTGAATCCTCTTATTTCTCTCATTGTCTGTCCAGGCAACCCCCTCCAAACACATATCCAGGATCTACAAAGAATTCATGTTAAAGGCAGCCAAGTTAAAATGGGTTGATGAGTTGTACAGGTGCTCAAATCTATTTTAATTCTGTGCCTGTAATCATTAATTTAAGATGCATTTATTGAGTGCCTGCAATGCACTCAGACCACAAAACTTACTACATGTATGTATGATTGTATGTGTGTATACTTACTTATTGATCTTTATCAGGTTCACCTATGTTTTTTCACTTCTCTTGTTAGTGGTGTGTGACCAGACAGAGGCAAATGTCCAAGGATTTTGACATTTCAAGGGCTGAATAATTACAGAAATGCAAACAGAAGCTTGGCCAAAGGCAGGGAAACCATGAACGATCCGGGAAGGGAAGTGACAGCCTCCTGGGGGTATGACAGGTTTTATTTCTGTTACCAACTGGGAAGTGTCCACCTGGAGTGACCTCTGAGTCTGGTATACAGCAGCCAAATGTTCAACGCTTTTCAGAAAACTGGAGTTTGACTCTTTGGATAGAATAGGGGACAGCAAGCCAAATAAAACTGGGAAAATGGATGGGTGTCAAGGGGCAATTGGCTGGCAGTCAACTTTAAATCTTAACAAAAGTTTTAGAGATGATGACTCACATGAAGCCTACATTGTAAGTATCCTTGGTGTGCAAGAAACACTATTCTTTCAGTTTTGGTATTGTCATGGCAACCGTTCGCTAAAGACACTTGCTGTCTTTTGTCAAAGGACATACATACCAGGAACATGGTGATTGTGTCTAAGCTGAGCATGGCACTTGTTTGGCTACACGTACTCCATCAATGGCCAGAAAATGAAGGTCATAAATGCAGGTGAGTGGAAAGGAAAGATGCAACAGAGTTTGGGTTTACTGGTCAGCTGGGGGAATCCAAACATTAAATGGAACTATTGAAATAATTTCTCAGATCATCCCAGTTCAGAGCTAAAAGACACCTGCTCTTGTGATATGATGTTTTTATTAAGTTTAACATGAAAACTTGGCTTTGATCACAAGATACTAGATTTATATGAACCAAGTTTCTGGCAAGATCTTGAAACAGAATCTTATGATCCTGAGAAGTAAGTTCTCTCTCACTCTAAGTGGAGGGCACCTCCTTCTTCCTCTTCAGGTTTGAATATGAGTCCCCAGGGACTTGGGCAACTGAATTTTCTGGGCTTTGCAGAACTGAGCCATTTTCATCACTCAAGTGTGTCCTGAGTCACAGGGAGTGTGGCGAGTGTCGTTGCCAGGGACATTGGGCTGAGCTGTAGCAGAGCACAGGCTGCCCTGTATTTCTTCTCAGACACAGGTACCAGGGGCACCGGTGGTGGTGGATTCAAATCCTGAATTGAGCCCTACTCTGCAGGTTGGGATGGGCTTCCAGGTGGCACTATCAGTAAAAGAACCCACCTGCCAATGCAGAAAATTTAAGAGAAGCAGGTTCAATCCCTGGGTCAGGAAGATCCCCTGGAGGAGGGCATGGCAACCCACTCCAACATTCTTACCTGGAGAATCCCATGGAGCCTGGCGGGCTGCAGTCCATAGGGTCACACAGAGTCGGACACGACTGAAGCAACTTAGCACACATACAAAGGCACCGTGAGTTAGGAAGAGTCCCCTTCCCCAGAGCCTGTCCCCACAAACAAGTGATCAAAGATGTGAAAAGACCTTATAAATGGTTCAGTGTCATCACACATGAAATTATTTTGCAGTAAAAATCATTGAACATCACCAATGAAGGACAGTTCTGTTGAACAGGGAACATTTTTATACAGCAAACCCACTGGCCTTTCTCGTCTATCACTGCATCATTTAAAGGTAAGTCTACTGGTTCATGCACCAAAAGCGTTTACAAAATGCCAGCCAAGCAACCAGAACTATGTTACACACTACAGACAGAAAACATGAAACAAAGGTCAAGGTCAGGAGAAGGGAATAGTCTGGCAAGCAACCAGCAAGTCAAGAAATCTGCAAGAGGTTTACGAATAGAAATAGCTCCTGATCTCTGAATTGACACATGTTCAAATGTGCTCAGTGGGTGGCAAGTAAGAGAAACAACTGTAGTTGAATTAAGCATCTCCCACATAGAAAGGAGCTTGTGCCTCAGTTCTGGGGGCAGGAGGATAGAACTCGGCCTGTGTCTCCCACGGGTGGGCATATCCCCTGAAGCTGGAACAGGACAGAGTCGAGGGATCCCATGTGGCAGGCACCCCCTCCTTGGGTCTTAATCTCTCCATTTCCTTTATGGTGCTTTGTAGACTCACTTCTCTGCTAACCTCACGGCAGGAGGAAGACCACCCTCCTACCTGCAGCCATGTTTACACGGGTGGTGTCCTGCTGCTCAAAGACGCCCAGGCCAGCACCCCAGGGAGGTGACTCTGTGTGGATTGGTTGTCCTCCCATAAATGCCCTGGGTGAAGTGTCCTCACACACACACCACATGCCACCCAAGGCTGCAGGGGCTCCTGGGTTGATCCATCAGTTGATTTGGCTTGAATGGCTAGCAAATCTAGCATTCTGCACTTACTTTTTTCATGTAATTAATCTTAATTTCTTCCATGTGGTGAACATTGGCTTACATCATTCTTCTAAATGGCTGCACCATATTCTAGAGAATAGTCCATATTCCATCATCTATTTAACTATTTGTGGTGTCCCAGGTGGCCCAATGGTAAATAATCCACCTGCCAATGCAGGAGATCCAGGTTAGATCCCTGGGTCTGGAAGATCCCCTGGAGAAGGAATTGGCACACCACTTCTGTAGTCTTGCCTGGAAAATTTCATGGACAGAGGATCCTGGTGGGCTATAGTGCATGGGGTCACAAAGAGTCAGACATGACTGAAGGACTGAACACACACACATTTTCTTTTTCATTTTTATTAGTTGGAGGCTAATTACTTTACAATGTTGTAGTGGTTTTTATCATACATTGACATGAATCAGCCATGGATTTACATGTATTCCCCATCCCAATCCCCCCTCCCACCTCCCTCTCTACCCGATCCCTCTGGGTCTTCCCAGTGCACCAGGCTCGAGCACTTGTCTCTTGCATCCAACCTGGGCTGGTGATCTGTTTCACCATAGATAATATACATGTTTCGATGCTATTCTCTCAGAACATCCCACCCTCGCCTTCTCCCTCAGAGTCCAGAGCTCTGTTCTGTACATCTGTGTCTCTTTTTCTGTTTTGCATATAGGGTTATCATTCTAAATTCCATATATATGTGAACACACACACATTTAACTATTTCCCTGTTGATTCTTTTTTTTTTTTCCTTTCAATTTTTGGTATTATTTACAAAGTCATGGTTACCACTCCCTTGTATATCTTTAAGTAGTTCTAGACTAAATGTCTGAGATGTAGAGATTAGATAGATATCTATAGAAGTCTCAAGGCTAAATATCTGGGTGAAAAGGTATGGACATTTTAGATTTTAGCAGATATTATCCAACTGTTCCTGATTGTCTATAACAGTTAGCACGTCTGGTCCTGTGGCAGGAGGGTGACGGTCCCTTATCTCTGATGAACTGTGTATTGTCAGTAATGGTGCTAACAGTTCAGGCAAAAACTTTGTCACAGGCTCAACTTCCTTGGAGTGCCCGGGAATTGAATTGTAATGAAGGACTGTGGTTCTCCATCATCTCTGGACTAGACAGAGCATGAGGTCGGGAGCATCACTTTGTGGTTTTGTTCTGACAAGGCCGGCTCTCACATGACCATCTGGCTCCTAGTCCCCGGGCTCCCAGCTGGGCCTCAGAGCTGCTGACCCTCGGGGATGGGGGGGTGGGATTCCAGTAGGCACTATTCCCTGTAAGACACTGAGATCGCCTCAATTCTGGTTTTATAAAGCAGAAGTAGGAAACAGCTGAGTTTAAAAAAGTTAAGAAAAAAAAAAACAACAACCTTAACCCTCCATTAGAGTAAGCATTTAAAAAATTAAAAAGGGAAGTTATGAGTAAGTTCCTCTCCATTTGTAACTGATCCGAGGCTTTACTCCACTGTTTGTGTTCCTTTCATGGGAACAAAACGCAGAGCATCATCTGCATCTTCCCTGAGGCTGACGGGGGCCTGTCCCTGCCGTGGACCCTGAGGGAGGCCACATGCGGGTTTCCTTCCTTTCTGCCTTTTATATGGTTTTCCTGGAAGGTGAACCCAGGTGCATCCTCAGGGCAGTGGAGAAGTGAGCCAGGGAAGGGAAGAGCAGGGTTTTCCTGAAGCAGATCTCCACGTGGGCATCGGGCCCCAGACCCACAGGGAGCTCCAGGAGGTGATGAGGACCACGTGCAGAGTGGCCTGTCCCCTTCCCGGGGCTGAGTGGCCAGGGTGTCCGCCAGGACTGGGGTGTCTGGGACCAGCAGCAACGTGCCATCCATCATGGCCCAGGGGCAGCTCTCAGGGACACTGGCTCCCTCAGCAGAAAAGAGGCCCCGGGAGAGGGAAGGTATGCGACGCTGTCCCCAGGACCCTGACCGCAAGGCCGAAGGGTACGGACGGGGCCCGACAGCATCAGCTCCCTGCTTCTCACCCCTCTCGGAGCCAGCTCAAAGCAAACCTAGGTGGACACGTTCCATTCTCCTCGAAACTCCAAATGCCAAGGTGCTGGGAAGCACTGCAGAGGAGACGCTGGATTCAGAAACGGTGCGGTTTCTCAGAATTACAGCTTGTCGACAGCAACTCAAAGGCGGTCTCTCATTTCAAAGACAGTCTAGTTTCCTATGAACGGTTTATTGAATAAACACATGTGGGGAGAGAGCCTGGGAGCAGTGCAGGCTCTGAACCCACACATGAAGTGACGGCCGCCATTTCACAGCTGAATCTCGAAGGAGTGTCCCCTCCGTCAGCAGGGCGTGTGCACACCTGCCAATCAGCCTTGAACTTGGAGGTTCCGCCAGGCCACACTTAAAACAGAAGCACCTGGACTGGATCTGTGGGAGGGATGGAGGGTAGGTCATTCATCCCTGGTACTTTTACAGTACTGTACCACGGGTTAACAGTCCCTGGTACTGTTACCAGAACAGCTCTGAGTGACCTAGGGTTCACGTAGAGAAGGCCACATACAGTACCCCCGATACCCACCGAGCTCTGGGCTCTGTGGCCTCATGGAGAAGAAGACCCATAAGTCCTTCCACATGAACCACGTGGTTCCTAGGCCTTCCCATACCATCCCCACTCAGTCCTCTTCACAGATTAAGAGTGTAAGTTCCTTTATTCCCATGTTTCAGAGAAGAGGCAAAAGCAAGTCAGGGCAGGACCCACCCACTGGCCCAGAAGAAGAAACAGGGCCCAACCCATTTTGTGATGGTCATCTGTCCCCAGAAAGTGTCTGGACAGTGGCTGGGCAGGGATGGAGCTCACACTGGGTCTTTCCAGCACAGAAAGACCATAGGTTGGCATCAGCAGAGAAGCTGATGGGCGGCAGTGTGTCCACTGGAAAGCCCATCAGATGCACTTTAGGGTTTATGTGGGGGTTTTCCATTTCTTAATTTGTTCATGTGGCAAAAATGGTTCCTCCCAGTGACTCTCCAGCCTGATGGCCCTGTCTCTGCCCAGCTCTCTGCCCAGTCCCTACCAAATGCAGCTCAGTGATCCTGCCCAAGGTGTGGGCACCTCAGGGCAGAGAGGGCATCTCCAAGGTCCACCCAAGTGAGTGTCTGGTGCTAGGATGCTCAGCCCAGTGCAGGTGCGCTTGAAGTGCTTCTACTCTGCAGATGGGAGGTGGACTTCCTAGCAGACCTGACTGATTGTATACTGTGGACACTGGCCTTACTCAGCCAGCAGCAGCCCCCACTTCCACCCCGACCCTCATCCAGACCCGGAGCACCTCCAGAGCAGCAGCGAGAGGAAGGGTGAGTGGAGAAGAAACATGGAAACTCTAAGGAGGGGGAGTTACCCGGCACTAGTACTGTTGCCAGAGCAAGAAATGAGAACAAGCCAGAAGACTCCGGGACTGCCTTTTGGTGGTTTCAGCACCCCCATGACTCCAGCTCTTCCTGGACGGGTATGCACACAAAGCACTGCTTCTGCTCTTGGTTTCTGCTGCTGGATATTTACGATTTTTTAAAAATTAATTCTGGAACATATCTTAGGAAAACCTGGTGAAAACCAGGTAAAAGTAGATCCAGTTATTCCACACCTTCGAGCACTTTCACACCCTCAACCTCACTTGTCTAGAGAAGCAGCTGGAACGTGTAGGCTGATCCTATACAAACACACTGGTAACTCACCTGGGAATGCAGGGCAGGCACAAGCTACGGGTCAGCGTCAGATCCCGGCACCTCACTCTAGGGCCATTTAGCTACTTAAAGGGCTTCTCTGGTAACTCAGCTGGTAAAGAATCCACCTGCAATGCAAAAGACCCTGGTTCAGTTCCTGGGTTGGGAAGATCCCCTGGAGAAGGGATAGGCTACCCACTCCAGTATTTATGGGCTTCCCTGATGGCTCAGATAGTAGGGACTCTGCCTACAATGCAAGAGACCTGAGTTTGATCTCTGGGTTGAGAAGATCCCCTGGAGGAGGGCATGGCAACCCACTCCAGTATTCTTGCCTGGAGAATGCCATGGACAGAGGAGCCTGGGGGCTACAGTCCATGGGGTCTCAAAGAGTTGGACATGACTGAGAGAATAAGCACAGCACAGCTACTTAAAACTTTGCCTAAATCCCTCTGTTCTGAGCTAGAGCATTTGTGTGTGAAGTGAAGTCACTCAGTTGTGTCCGACTCTTTGCAACCCCATGGACTGTAGCCCACCAGGCTCCTCCATCCATGGAATTTTCCAGGCAAGAGTACTGTAGTAGGTTGCCATTTCCTTCTCCAGGGGAATCTTCCCGACCCAGGGATCGAACCCAGGTCTTCCGCATTGCAGGCAGATACTTTACCATCGGAGTCACCAGGAAAGCCCATTCGAGTGTGAATTCCCGTCATTTGTATGGGTGAAGATCCCAGAGTCAAGTCCTCCTCTCTGCCTCCCCTGGGCACCCGGAGGGTACCATTGACTCTTGACCCCCAGCCCATGCAGAATGCAGTGCACAGGTGCCTGCCTGAGGTGTGGAAAGTCATCCCCCTTGACCTTCATCTCCGTCTACACTCACATCCACTCTGTGTTCTGGAAGCTTCTCATGGCGGGATGAGCTGAGATCAGAGCACTGGGTCTTGGTGAACTCCTGTCTTGGGAGGACCCCTCTGCTCCAGCCCAGTGACAGCATGCCATCAGGGGTCCCCTGGCCACGTGGTTGGGCGGTGTGGGGGTGGTTGCTACTCCGTGTCCCTCAGGGCAAATCCCTATACAGGATGCATGCGTTAATGGTAAAGTGAACAAAGCTCCATTATCCCAAATTGCGTGTACACGCTGACAGTTCCAGGTAGAGGCCGGTCTGTGGGGGCTTGGGACTGGCTCTCAGTATGGGGGTGCTCACTGTGAGTTATCCATGAGCAGAAGAAGCTGTCCATCCCCGAGTCCAGGCTTCTGATCCCAGAAGGGTCCACCAGACCTGGAACCTGCAGTGCTGTCTTGGCTGCCCCCAGGATGCTATAGTACAATGTACAATGTGGGCTTTAGTGGGGGAATTCAGTTTTCCCTCCAAACCTTCAATAACTCACAGACATAACTGATTAACACAACCTCCTTTTTGCAAGCAATGAAATGCAGCTTTTGGTGATAGAAGAATGAAAAATGATCCAGACCAGAGTCCTCAAATTGGAGCATCATTAGAGCCCCCAGAAGCTTGTTGGCACACATTCCCAGACACCTCCCCCTCCCTTGGGTAGGTCTGGGCCTCCTGAGGACTGACGTTCCCAGTGGACACTGATCCGCTGTTCTGGCTCCACACTCAAGGCCCACAGGGGCAGCCCCACCTCCCGTGATGCCCCACAGCCTCAGCCAGGCCTGCCCCTCAAGGCCAAGGGGTTGGTGCTATTTCCTGAGAGTTTCCCATATATGGAAAATTGGAGTGCCAACAGTGGGTAAACTTGAACACAATTTTTATGTTTCCTCAGGTGTGGCAGCGAATCCCCTTCCCTGATACTATAGGGTCAGCCCAGGAGTGAGGCCCCAACCTCTTTATGTGACCTCTTCCCCCAAAACGGACAAACAGAAGGAAGACAGACCTTGGGAAGCAATGAAGGTGAATGGTGGGCCTTTAGGGACTTTAACTCTCAGCTTTGTGTTTCTAGAAACATTGAATCAAATAACATCTTGAATAACCAAAATTGCACATAAAGAAAGTGGGTGGCCTGTCTCTGCCATCATGGTCATCAAGTAAAGACCCAAGAAAATGAATCTGCGCTTTACAATTTTGGAAATGGCCAAAAATGTTATTTGGATTAATTGCTATTTGGGAGTTGGCTAAAACTGACCACATTTTCTCCTACCTCTGGATAAACATCGTGGCATTGTCATATAAATCCATAGTCCTCAAATTAGGTTAAAATAGGCCTTTTTGGGGAAGAAAAAGATTTCTTTTTTTTGGCAGATTTCTCCCCAAATATATTCAGACATGACAGCTCAACTTTTCTTTCTTTCATAGTCAATAACAATCAAATTAAATTTCTACATTTTTGGAATTGTATTAAATTGCATTGTATTCTTCAGTTACACATAAAATTCAATTAGCTTTCTTTATGGAAATGTTAATATTGTATATAGGTCAAAGAAAAGAATATTTAAAATGACATTTTAATACTTTGTAAGAAGCAACAGAAATTCAACTTTTCAAAGCACAGCCTGGGACTACCATTGGAGCACTTCTGCAGTATTTTCCCTGAACAGAATTCATTCCAATGCAAACATAAGTGAGCCATATTCCATACAATATACACACTCTCAAGTATTGTGTGTGTAGAATGTTTATAAGGTAAATTACCATGCATTTGAAATAGAAGATTAGAACCAAAGCAAAAATCTGGAGGAGAAAGTCACCCTAATTGCTGACTCTGACACTATTTTCTGAAATAAAAAGTGTTTTAAATTCTTGGCCAGTCAATTTAAGCCAAAATTGAACTTTTGTGCTTTTAGAAACAGCTGAACTAGGACAACATGACTAGAATAACTTCCTGATCACGCTCTGATTCCATTCAGGTATCTGCTCCTTTTCTGTGTGATTCCGAGGTGATGACCCCAACCTCCCCAGTGGAATACATGGCTGATACAGGCTGTTGATAGCAGCCTGGCACCCTCGCAATGACTGGGTCACAGCTGAGCACTGGCCCAGGGGTGACCAGCAGATCCCAGGGAGGTGACTGCTAGGCTAGCGGAGAATTTTTCCTCAATCTTAAGAGGGAGATATGTGAAGGGCTGACCCATTTCTGTCCCTGGACCCCAGCTGTAAGAACTCCTCCAGCCATCTTACAACCACAGCGCAGCCCGTCTTGCACAACTCGGCC